AGGGAAGCCATTTTCTCCCTCCTGGAGGCTCGAGGAAAGCCTCCGGAGCCCGAGCAGGGCAAAAACACCCCAGCCGTGGTGCAGGAGGTCGAGTAGGCCACACCCACCCAGCAACCCAGGCCAAGAACCCATTGCTAAAATGTTTGAAGCCCACCCCTGCTTAATTACCGTTTCGCTGTGCCTTTACAGACCCCTCAAGGCCTTTATAGAATCAGCCTATCGCCCTCAACAATCTGAGTCCTCCTTTTGTTGACCTGGGAAGGATGAAAGGCTGAATCAACTTTTGAGTCTCTCACCCTCGGACCGCTGGCAGCCTGCGGCAGTCAGCAGAAACAGCCTGCAGTACTGCATTCTAACCATTGAGCCCCCACGGTTCACAGATGCTCAAGCAATCTGGGGATACACCTGACTGAGTGTCCCTTTTTGGTTCTAGGGGAAGTCAACTTTACAATAACAGCAGAGGCCCTGAAGTCCACCCAGCTCTGTGGGAACGAAATTGCGGAAGTGCCTGCCAAAGGACAGAGGGACATCGTGATCAAAACCCTGCTAGTCGAGGTACGTACAGGCTGCTCTCGTCCGTGGTGAGGGCAAGGATGGAGTTGAGAGTAATGATATATTAAAGTAAGAGTCATGTTTCCTAGTAAATTAAGTTTTCTTGATGACAGCGTGAAAGGGTTTGGGTTTTTTCCCCCAGTTGTTGGAAGAAATATCCATCTGGTTCAGTTCCAAGTGGGGAGAAGGACACTGAAAACATGGAGGCTGATTGGAAAGATAGTTTATTGGTGAATCAGAAAGATGGGGTGGTTCTGGGCAGCTGACCACATGGGCCTGAGAGTTGAGTGGCTTTTATACCCTCTCTTGAGCTTTGCCCTTGAGCTTCCTGTTCCTGTGGCAAGAGCATGTATTCTTTTGGCTGTAGTCAGAGGCCATAGATAACTTTGCAGGTTATCTGAGTCAAGCTTGGTTAAAACTTGGGCTGATGCAATGCAGTTCCTATTGTGGCTGAATGGCTTTGCCCTTTACCCAGCTTTCATCGTCATAGATTTTTTAAAAAAATTCAGAAAATAAGTTAGGAATTTTAAGAAATATCTAACATTCATTTTCACTTTTTCCCTCTTCTTCTCTTTTCATAAAGCCTGAAGGAATCGAGACGGAAGTGGTCATCAACAAGTTGCTATGTGGAGCCAGTAAGTATCAACCAGCAGCCACCCACTTTCTTCTTGCCAAATTTGAGAAACACGGCTCTACAGTATGATCCTTTCATGTATATGTATAAAAAAACCTCTTTAAGCAGACTCCTTTTGGTAGAGATAGAGAATTATATGGCTCCTACAGCATAGGGGTGGGTAAACATGCAGCCATAGAGCCCTGGTGGCGCAGTGGTGAGAATGCAGTATTGCAGTCTAATTCTGCTGACTGCCAGCAGTTTGATTTTCACTGGTTCCAAGATTGACTCAGCCTTCCATCCTTCCGAGGCTGGTAAAACGAGGACCCGGATTGTTGGGAGAAGTAGGCTGACACTGTAAACCCCGTAGGGCTGTAAAGCACTGTGAAATGGTATATATTGTAAATCTAAGTGCTACTGCTATCGCCCAGAGGGCGATAGCGAATCTATAGCACGCAGAGCCATTTGTGCCGGCACGCGAGCCGCAGGCGAACTTACCTCACTGTGCATGTGTGCACCACACAGCTGATTTTTTTTGGCTGGTTTGAGGCCTTTTTCGGCCTCCCAGAGGCTTGAAAAAAGCCTCTGCAGGGCTTTGCAGGACGGATAATAGGCCCGTTTCATCATTTCCTATAATACCGGAAGTGACAAAACGGGCCTATTATTCGCCCTGCAAAGCCTGCAGAGGCTTTTTTCAAGATTTTGAGGAGGCCGAAAATCAGCTGGGAGGTGCAGTGCAGGTAAGGGTGGGGGGATTGTGCACGCATGCGCAGGGGACATGAGGGGGGTGCGCATTGCCTTCTGGATGCTGGCACACGAGTGCGCAAGCTCAAGCACGCACACGATTTTTGGCACAGGAGCCCCAAAAGGTTAGCCGCCACTGGCCTAGAGCTACAGATGAGTCCAAGAACTTGTGAAATCTAAAGGAGACGCCAATTCTTAAATGTCCCTAGCCATTGGATTAAATAATGGGTACTAGAGATAGCCGGAAATGAGAAAATTAGCAATAAAAGAACAAAGAGGCTCAATCCAGACTGTCTTTTTTTTTTTCCTCCTTGCTTGCAGAAAACAACCAACCCACAACTATTCCCTTAAAGGTCCCAGAGAACATCGTGGAGAAATCTGCCAGGGCTACCTTCTGTGTGTTGGGTAAGTGATGCACTATGGCAAGAATACGTGTACAGGCTGCCATTCCTTCTCCCGTCTGGTTATGTCCAACTCTAGGGGGCACTGCTCGTTTCTGTTTTTTAGCCAAGGGAGAAAGTGTTGTCCATAGATGCTTCCGTGATCATGGCTATATGTTGAGGCGATATGTTGAGGCACACGATTAACCTTCCCTCCTAAGTGGTGTCAATTTATCTAACTTGCGCTTGCATGCTTTCAAACTCCTCGATGGGCAGGAGCTGGGGCAGGAGCTCATCCCATCCCGCAGCACTTGGGTCTCAAACCTGGGTTGTCACTTTTCTAACTAATAAGCTGAGTGTCTTTAACCGCCTTAAAATGTTCCAAGGGGTCTTTTAGGACAGTGGCCCACAACCTTTTTTGAACCAGGGACCGGTTTCACAATTATTTATTCTTCCACGGACCGGTACCTGAGTAACGTGAGACTCCACCACCACTGGGACGGCTCTTCGTTCAAATCCACCACCCTTCGACAAAACTAAGGCGCGAGCACCCAAACGCTGCTTTCCAACTGAAAAACCGGAAGCACTTTCCAACCAAAAACCCAGAAGCAACCAAAAACCCGGAAGCGCTGTCGAAACAAGATGGCAGCGCCCAAGCTTTGCGGCCCAGTAAAAAATGATCCACGGACTGGTACTGGTCCGGGGACCGGTGGTTGGGGACCCCTGTTTTAGGAGGAGGTTTGCTTGGAAAGCTGTGTGTTTGGTGATGAAATACAGCCAATATACAAACACTAATAAACATATTTACAGACCCCCCCTCACATCCTGGACATAAACTGTTTCAACTCCTACCCTCAAAACGAGCACTGCACACCAGAACAACTAGACACAAGGACAGTTATTTCCTGAAAGCCATCACTCTGCTAAACAAATAATTCCCTCAACACTGTCCAACTATTTACAAAGTCTGCACTGCTATTACTAGTAATCTTCTCATCACTCCTTATCACCCACCCCCTCCCACTTGTGACTGTACGACTGTAGCTTTGTCACTTGTATTCTTACGGTTTATACTGACTGTTTCCTAGTATGATTTGATTGCTTATTTGTACTCTATATCGTGAAGTGTTGCACCTGATGAATCTTGATGAATGTATCTTTTCTTTTAAAATATTTTAAAGCTTATTTTAAATAGTTACATTGACTTATTGAATTGTCCTGTGGCGAGTTGATCTGCAGCTCTTGCAAGAGGCAGGAACTTTATGTAATCATGTAAAGTGAGTTGACTATGGCAAGTTGGCCATGGTGAATTGGCCGTGGAGAGTTGGCCATGGAGAGTTGTCCCACAGTGACTTGGCCATGGTGAGATGGCCTTGATGAGTTGGCTATGGTGAGTTGGCCATGGTGAGTTGGCCGTGGAGAGTTGGCCGTGGAGAGTTGTCCCACGGCGACTTGGCCGTGGCAAGTTGGCCATGGTGAGATGGCCTTGATGAGTTGGCTATGGTGAGTTGGCCATGGTGAGCTGCCCCATTCCAGCTGTGCCAGTAGAATACGTTACATTAAATGATTAAGAATCAAAAGATGTTCCCTCCATTTTGAAAACTTGAAATTGTCTTAGAGGAAGGGGCTGGTCTTCTTTTCAAATAAAGCTCCTTAATTCCCAGAGAGATTGGAAGGGTTGCCCCAGAGGCCTTGCAACCTTGGGCTTTTCATGTTTGAAACTAGCTTTCTTTTTCTGTTTTTTTTTTCCCCCATTATTTCTATTCCTACCCTCCTTCCTTGGGGTCATTCTCTCTGCTGGTGCTCTGTCCCTCCTGCTCTTTTGCCCCCTTGACCAAATCTGCCTCTCCTTGACTTCCTGGGACTCCCCGTTTCACTCACGTTGAAATATCTTCTCGCTCCCCCAAAGGGTTTATTTATGTCATTTATTGATTTGATTTGATTTGTCAATCGCTTACAAGATAATAGAGGTAAGTATAAACATGAGTAAGAATACAGGAAAGAGGTACGAATAAATGGGGACAATAGGACAGGGATGGTAGGCACGATGGTGCAACTTAGGCACGCCCCTTAACAGACCTCTTAGGAATGGGGTGAGGTCAATAGCGGATAGTGGATTCTCAACTCTTGACGTCTTTCATATCTCTTCCCTGTCACAGGTGACATCTTAGGCTCTGCCATCCAGAACGTGCATCAGCTTCTCCAGTTGCCTTCTGGCTGTGGGGAACAAAACATCGCCCTTTTGGCCCCCAATATTTACATCTTGGACTACCTGAACAAGACTGACCAGCTGACCGAGGAAACGAAGTCAAAGGCAATTGGATACTTAGTGGCTGGTAAGAAGATTCCACAGAATTATGCCGAAGGGGCCCCTGTACCTGTTTCTCCTTTGGGGGGGGGAGGCAGAACAAGAGGAATTCATTAATTCATTGTTTGATGCTCATCTTGCCACATAGGGACTCTCAAGGAATTGTCTCTGATTGACAAGATTAATCATCAGGGTCTAATAGAAAGGATCAGTACGTATATCCGTCCAAAATGGTGTAGGGCAGTGATGGCGAACCTTTTTGTTGTGGTGTGCTGAAAGCACATGCACGCGCACGTGCCAGCAGCCACAATGCAATGTGTCCCCCCCCCGCGTATGTGCGCGCAACACCCTGTTAGGCATCCAGAAATTGTCCATGGTAATCAAATCACTCCGAGACAAGTATAATCTTCAATTGATTTATTAGGAACAGCTCTGGTACATCTACGGCAATTTCCAAAACTGAAACTCATTTCCAACGCATCTCCCAAATTCCCCCCTATCTCCTCCCACTTACTATACTTCATAAATCACGAGAACCAGTTAACTGCAGCTGGAATTTTTTAATGCGACATACTAAATAACCTTGGCTGTTCAACTCCCTCCCCCTCCCCCTTGCATTACATTTTTCACATTCTTGCGGCAGCTGAACTAAGAGCTGACACCCCCTGCCTCTCCCCCTTACCGGCACTGCCGGAAGTGCCCATTTCAGCCTCCGGAGGGCCTCTGGAACCCAGGGGAGGCCATTTTCGCCCTCCTGGAGGCTCAAGAGAAGCCTCTGGAGCCTTGGGAGGCTGAAATTTCGGCACTTCCAGTATTTCCGGAAAGCCCATTTTTCAGCCTCCTGCAGAGGCTTCCTTCGAGTCTTCTGGAGAGCGAAAACAGCCTCATAGGGGCTGAAAATCAGCTGGGAGACACAGGCATGCACTGTGCAGGTAAGTTTGGCTGAGGCTCGCATGCCCGCACAAATGTCTTTGTGCCACCTGTGGCAGGCGTGCCATAGGTTCGCCATCACGGCTGTAGGGTCTCCTGCTTGGGTGGCAGGGGGGAGGGGGTTGGACTAGTCACTAGATGACCTAAAAAAATCCCTTCCAACTTTGTTAATCTGTATCTGTATCTGTATTCCTGCCCGTTTTGCAGGAAATGTGACCTTAGCTGAATTATCAGCAAACCATCGGCCTAATGATGAATTAAATTAATTTATAGTGGTCAATTTTGATAATTAATAGCTGCACGTCCAGGATACGTTTTGCTTATCTTTTGACCCTATTTTCCATTTGGTTACAAAATGGAAAATGAAAATGAAAATAATAATAATAATAATAATAATAATAATAATAATAATAATAATAATGGAAGAGGGGGGAAGAGGGATATTTCCATTTATTTAATATTATTTTATTTTACTACGCAAAGGGCATCTCTGATATAATTAGTGAATGTTCTTCTCCTTTAATTGTAACCTTTAATTCAATTCCCTCTAGCCTCCAATTTTTAAAGTCTAGGGGAAGAATTCTTTATAACTCATTCCAAAATCATGCATCAAATTTATCTCAACTTTGAGTTCATTTATAACTTTCTAAAATCCAAGTTTTAATTAAAATTTCTTTCACTAAGAATTAAAAGAAACTTACCTGGCATTTTCAGACTTGCTGATCCAAAGGTTCTGAATAAGCTAAAAATTAGTTAACAAGCAACTTCTGGGAGTAACAAGAAAAGGGAAGTAAATTATAGGAGCCCAGTATCCTTAAAGATGCTGATCAGGGTTTGAGCATTCCCTCATCTCCCAGGCCTCTAAATTGAATGGAGACCACTCCCTTGTGGTCTCTTTGAAAGGAGCCGCTGTCTGGAGCACTTGTGGGTAATCTCAAGTCTTCTCCTTGCTGGAGAGGAATTATCAAAGAGCGGTCTATTTTCAGTTTGCTTATTGGCTCTGCCTTTTTGGGGAGCTATCTTCAGGGGTGGGGATCCTACCGGTTCGGGTCGGTCATATAGAACTGGTAGCTCCAAAGAGCAGCTGACACCGAACTGGTTCACCGCCTGCCCGGGCTCTAGGTTGTCCTTTAGCGGCTGCGTTTTCCTCCTCAGCTGCTTTGCGTGGCACAGCTGCGTGTCAGCTGGAAAAGGTAAATGCTTGCTGGAGCTGGTAGTGCGCATGTGCATGTAGCACATGTTTAACACGCATGTGTGCGCTCCTCAAACCAGTTGTTATCCCGGTCAGATTCCCACCTCTGGCCATCTTCAATCTGCCATTTCTTCCTCAGAAATCACTGTTGAGGTAATTCCCCGTTAGGAGAATGAGCGCATACAGGGAGACGTATAGAGAGTAGTGTAGGAATAATACACACAGAGCACACAGATACACTGTACAGTAAATGTAGGTTTTTACTTCCAGAAACGCTAAGCAAAGTCCAAACAAGCAATCCAAAGTCATTCACAAGTTAAATCAGTCAGTTTTCAATCCAGGGATAATCCAAATATCAAAGTCCAGTGTCAAAAAACAGTTCAGTATCAGACTTACATTAAATCCAGGAATATCAGTCAATTAGAAGAAATGGAGGAACGGCAATACTTTCCAAGAGAAGGAAACAGAGATACACTCACACTCTCTTCTGAGACTCAGACTAAAACAATCCAGGCTCCTGGCTCCATCTTATGGCTGTTTGAAAAACCACACCCAATTGCAGTTTTTGCAATCTCTTAAAGACATAGTACGAAAATGTTTATCCTGGTTTATATATTTCTAACCCAAATTGCTGTTAAGTGAGTTATATTCCTAACAGCCACCATTTGTATAGGAGACTACCCAAAAAGTCCCCAGTTTCTATTTAGACTGGGAGGTCAGAAAACTATTATAGTCCGTTTCTGTAATGTAAAAACACAAACACGGATGTATCTTCAAAGTCAACAAGCCCTGAGCTTGACTCAAGGAAGGCTTCGCTGTTTATTGAATACATACAAACTAACATTCACCCTCTATTGCAGGCTACCAGAGACAGTTGAACTACAAGCATGCCGACGGTTCCTACAGCACCTTTGGGCAAAGTAGCAACCAGCCTGGAAATACCTGGTAAGATTCACGGCATTAGGCTCTGAGGTTGTCTCTGCAGGTTTGCGTGGGTGCATGCAAAAATGTACTTCCCATCTTTGCTAGTATCCTTGGCAAGGTAAATATTTTTTTGCTTACAGGGGAAGCTTGTTAGGAGCATGAAAATGCTGATCTGGGGTATGTCTAGTCTAGAGAAAAGAAGGACCAGGGGTGATGTGATGACAGTGTTCTAGTAGCCTGTGCCCAGTGTGCGGGCACGCAGAGCTGCTTGAAGGGAAGAGCAGCTGTAGCAACACGGGTGACTCAAGAGTAAGGCTGCAAGGTAATGGCCCCTCCCCTAAGAGATAAAAGCCAGCTGAGAAACCGGAGTGTTTTGCAGGAAGCAAAGAAGTTTTTGCACTCAAGCCTTGTGGACGTTCGGACTCTCTTAGTTTGTGTTTGGAGATTCCTAGTGCTTGAAATATTTCTTGGCAACTTTATCTAGTGTTCTTGGCAGCCTTGCACAACCTTGGCAAGGCTCGTTCTTATCAGAGACAATTAGTTTGAAATAGCCTTTTAACCGGGAAGGAACGGAATTCGTAAAGAATCATTTAAAAAGTTTTGCTGTTACCCCCATTTTGTTTTGGTTTCCTTCAAGGGTGGGATTCAAATTTTTTAACAACTGGTTCTGTGGGCATGGCTTAGTTGGTGGGTGTGGCTTGGTGGTCATGTGACTGGGTGGGCATGGCTTGGTGGGCATGTTATTGGCTGGGCGTGGCCAACTCAATGTCACTCACATCAAGGCACACATCTCCTTGGCTGGCCTCTCATGACTTGTGGGGATGCTGCAACAGTTGTAAGTGTGAAAAAAGGTCATAGGTCATTTTTTTCAGTGCCATTGTAACTTTGAATGGTCCCTCCATACAAGCAAAGTACCAGCAAAGGAGGGGAAAAAAACTCCAGAGACGTTCCTGAAACAGGAAGTCTAGTCCTGCCAAGAATGTAATAAGGGTTAGTGGAGAGGCAGTTTCTGTAAGCAACACCAGAATGTTTCCTTCCTGCCTTCCTTACAGGATTAGGCCAGTAATTTCTTCTAACAACCGGTTCTCCAAACTGCTTAGAATGTTAACAACCAGTTCAAGCGAATAGGTGTGAACTGGTAGAATCCCACCCTTGGTTTCCTTGGAACAAGTTTGGGTCAGAACAGTGCCCCACAAAGTGGGGGGTGGGGTCACTGCTTTTAAAGGGTGCACAGAGGTTACAAATGAAAAACAAAATTAATGGGGTTGCGCTCTGTTCTTGCAGGCTGACCGCTTTTGTGTTGAAGTGCTTTTCTCAAATGAAGAGACACATCCTTGTGGAGGAACGACACCTGAGCGACGCTGAGACCTTTCTGGCCTTAAAGCAGAAAGCAAATGGCTGCTTCCAAGCCAGCGGGACCCTCCTGAACAATGCGCTACAGGTACAGAGAAAGCAGTGGTGGGTGTTAGGGATACACCCTAGCAAGATCTGCAGGGCAGTCAGGCAGGCAGGCAAAATATGTGAGATAAGTGTTGTGTAGCTTACACTCAGTAAAAGCAGATACAGTGCCAATTAAAGTAGTTTTATTCCAGCAAGAGTTAAAGCATAGTCAAAACAGTCCATATATCATACACTTATTTTAGTCCGTCCAGGGAGTATTCATTTGCAAAATTCCAATGTCAAAAATGGTCAGTACACTTACAAAATAACAGTCCGGTGATTTATCTCTTCGCAGTAGAGAGAGATATGCACAAACTCAGAAACTCCTCTCTTCCGTTTGCAACTCCAGTAATTGCCAGCAAAGCGTCAGGGAATCGTCAGGGAAATCGTCAGCATCTCTTGCTAGCTCTTATGGTGTTTTCACACCACACCCAAATTACATGCTTTGCATTTAAAGTAACACATACTCTAAACTAAGAATCATAGCTTATATATTATTTTATCTTACCCAAACTAGTTAGGTGACCAATGTTATACCTAACAGTGGGATTCAAAAAAGTTTTTATAACTGGTTCTGTGGGTGTGGCTTGGTGGCTGTGACATGGCATCGTGGGCGTGGCAGGGGAAGGTAACTGCAAAATCTCCATTCCCACTCCACTAACCTGCTTTCCAGCTCCGTTTTCCTGTGCAGGGCAACCAAAGAAGACCCAGCCGATCAGCTGGGACTCAGGAGGCAGAGAATAGATGGGGGAGGGGCCAGTCAGAGGCGGTATTTGCCGGTTCTCCGAACTACTCAACATTTCTGCTACTGGTTCTCCAGAACTGGGTCAGAACCGGCTGAATACCCACCTCTGGATAGCGTGATTTTTTTCTCTCTCCTGTGGTTTCTAGCAGGACAGCAGGCAGTAGAAAGATTTTTTTCCCCCCAATTTAGATCAGTGTTTCCCAACCTTGGGGATTTTGATATGTGGGAAGTTCAGTTTCCCGGACTTCCTCAGCCAGCATGATTTTTAACGTGTGAAACCCCTGCGGAAGTTGCTGGGAATTCTGGGAATGGAGAATTCCCAAGGTTATGAAACACTGGTTTAGACGGCTGCTAAGTCATCGGGAGTAGCTTGCTTACAGGTCCTTGGGTAACCTCCAAGGTGGAGGAAACTTACTCAGACGATCTACTTTCTGTGACCATTTGCGCGTCGATCAATTTGAGTAATAAAGGTGCTTTTTTCTGAAAGAAAACTGGATTTTCTTGGGTTTTTTTTTTCTCTCCTGAAAACATTTTGCTTCTCATCCAAGAGGCTCCTTCAGTTCTGAAAAAAACTGAAGAAGCTTCTTGGATGAGAAGCAAAATGTTTTCAAAGGGGACCCCCCCCAAATAATAATAATAATAATAATAATAATAATAATAATAATAATAATA